ATGCGCATAGGGACTAAAACTTACAAATCTGAACGAAAGCAATCAATCGATCAAATCTAGAGAAAGAGTAAGAGTGTTTGATCGCGATCAATAGACTAAAAATCAATCAATCGATCTGTGTTCTCTTTAGCATAAATTAGTATATATATAAACAAATTTGAGATCATAGATACAGATCTGAGTTCGTATTTAAACAAAATCAAAAAATCAGAGAATGATACTCACAAAATTAATCTTCAAATTGGACTGATTGAGAGTTTTGAGCCAAGACGAAGAGAGCTGGATAGAGATTACAATCGTAAATCGGAGCCTACGATACTCGATCTAGTGAACTTTCACTATAAGAAAGAGGAGTGATGAAGCCCTATATCTATCTTGGGACTGAGAGAAATGGAAAAATGAAAAACGCGTGGGCCTTAATCCGCAAGTACACCAAGTAGCACGCGTGTTTTTAAAATGAGTTGTTTACAAAATATTTTGAAAACCTTTGAAACAACGTTTTTTGAAAAAAAATGCCATATTAAAAACGTTGCTATAGGCCAATTTTCTTGAAAACAAGAATAACAAACATTGAAGTTATTGGAAGTGCAACATCAGTACTGTCAACTTGTGGAGGATAAAAACTGATTTCGCCAAAATGTGGGCCCAAGGCTTGTTCCCATCCTTTATGCTCCAAGTGATTCATCCCCAGAGAAGATGGTGCCATACCAAACTAACTTCTTTTTTTCATTCAACAAACCTTTTGACAAATATCAAAAAGCATAAAATTTTGAATTATTTATTTATTTATTAATTTGGAACTTTATGCGAGTGCTTCACTCACCTAAGGATGGAGTGAGGTTAGTGACAAATTGAAGTGTTTTCATTCATATGAAGTATGAATCAAGCCAAGTGTGATAATCTATCATGCTAATTTAGGCAAGCAGTTGAAGCTTCTCTCAGAAAAGGAAAGGTAAATATGTGCATGCAATAAAGGAACTAAGAATTTAATAGGGGAAATTATTCATCAGTGGTTGTTTTAAAAACTTTACTTTTCAAAACTACCCTAACGTGAAATTTTCCCAATTTAATTTAGGGACACCAGCGTGTAATTGTGTAATTATCATATATATGTTGTGGAATAAACCACACTCACACAACAATAAGAAAAATTAACACGAACAAAAACACAACACACAAATATACATGGTTTGACAAGGGTTATACAACATTAAAAGAAGGATACCATATAGTTGTTTATATCTGTATAGACATCTATTTTATGTTATAGATGAAATAAGACACTTGGTGCAAATAAAACCGGACCATGTTGGTAACTTGCTCTACCCCCATTATAGTGTAATTTCTTGCGCTATCAGATCTTACTGTATATTGATCTAATTATTTCACAAACATATATAATGTGTTGTGTGCACTTCTAGTTAATGTATATGTTGAGGTTTACATCACTAAATTATTGTAAAACCCTTAATACTTAAAAAAATAATTTGAGAATATACAAATATTAATCAAGCTCTATAAAATTCAGAAAATATATGCTCCTCCTTTACAGCATCCTAGCAGGAATAAAGCAAGGCATCATGGAAAGCCAATGGAGAGCAATCTAGTAGAGCATTATTTCACCTTTACAAAAGAAGGGTACATTTTCATGAATATAATCTTAAAGTTCTGTAGTTTCCTCATCAAATTCACATTTTGTGATTGGTTATGGAGGAGGTTCCTTTGCAAAAGTGTTGTGTGAGAATCGAATGATTTCAACTTACAAATAGTAAAGAAAAATAAATTAAACCCATAGAATATATATACATATATATATATATATGTGTGTGTGTGGTTTGATAATGTTATCACTACTACAAAAATAGATAAAGATCATATTTTTTTATGTGATGTATGTTATTTAATTACACCTTTAAGTTTTATTAAAGTGCGATCTTTGGGAGTGTGATTAAAAGGGGTCATTTTTAATCACACCTTTTAAGTGTGATTAATAACATTTAGATGTGGAAAAAAATATATATTACACTCAATTCTCATTTGCTATCGTGGAGATTCGAACCATCAACCCTCTCACACTATAAACCTTATACAACACACTCTTTCCACTACATCTCTATAACACTATATGATTATATATGCAACATATATTATTTATATAGTACATAGACCCGTATTAATATAAAAGTATATATATAAAGATAATTATTTTTTATTGAACATAATTTATGTAAAAATAAATTATTTACTAGAAAAAAAAAGAGACCACTTTTGGCGACTAAACAAAATTTTAGTCGCCAATTTTATACTTTTGGCTACTAATTATTTTTTAGTCGTTAAAAATTTAATTCTCGGGCTAAAATTACTACTTTTGGTGACTAAACTTCTTTTTAGTCGCCAAAAGCCTCACTTTTGGCTACTAAACATCTTTTTAGTCTCCCAATGCCTCAGTTTTGGCTACTAAAATTTTTTTAGTTGGTAAAAGCCTCACTTTTGGCGACCAAACATCTTTTTAGTCACCCAATACCTCACTTTTGGCTACTAATTTTTTTTTAGTCGCCAAAAAGCCTTACTTTTGGCTACTAAAATTTTTTTAGTCGGTAAAAGCCATATATGGGCAACCAAATAGATTTTTAGTCACCAAAACCTATAATCACACTTTAATTAGAATGTGTGATTAAAAAATATATATCTAATCACACTTATTTAAAAAGTGTGATTAAAAAGTAATAATGTATATATAATCACACTTTAATTAAAAGGTGTGATTAAAAAATATATAAATAATTACACTTTAATTAGAAAGTGTGATTAAAAAATATATATATATGTATATAATCACACTTATTTAAGAAGTGTGATTAAAAAGTAGTGGTGTATATATAATCACACTTTAATTAGAATGTGTGATTAAGAAATATATAAATAATCACACTTTAATTAGAATGTGTGATTAAAAAATATATATCTAATCACACTTATTTAAAAAGTGTGATTAAAAAGTAGTAGTGTATATATAATCACACTTTAATTAGAATGTGTAATTAAAAAAAAAAAATATATATATATATATATATAATCACACTTAATTGAAAAGTGACATAAAAAATGAATATTATCACACTCAATCAAATTAAGTGTGATTAAAATATCAATCTAATTTTTTTTATCACACTTTCAATAAAAGTGAGATATATATTTTTTTTTTGTTAAAGTGTGATCTTTAACTATTTTTATATTAGTGTATGTCCGTGAAAGAAATGAAAATTAAATTCATTATATATAACTAAGATTATCAAAATACTCACAAAATAAGGGAACAAACTTTGATGACTCATGAGTACAAGAAACAAACAAACAATCACCTAAACCAATGATCCAAATTCAAAGTTTTTCATCACTACCCATTTCAAAGTTTGTCCACACAATCCACATATCAAACACATTCAATACACAACAAAAACACACAGAGAAAGTTAAAAATCGAAATGGGCACTCACTAGAACAGCCTTATAGGCAGAGACGGGAATGGGATTAGACGCGGGTTTATCGGAATCGTCATCGAAAGTGACTAAAATGATGTCGGAGAAGCAAGGAGTAGAGCGATGGTGGTAATCATCGAAGGGAGTCTAGAATCTGAGGAAGGAGACTTTGGAGTTGAGATCTTCGATCTTGGCTTGGAGTTGTTCTGGATCTTGGCTCCGAATCGGTGTTCATGAACTCATCATGGATCTCAGGTGACGGTGACCAAAAGGAGTAGAAATCGATGATCCGGTTACCGATGACCACGAGGGACGGGAGAGGAGCACCGGAGAGATAGAGAGACGCTGAAGAGAGAGACAGACAGAGGCGCTAGTTAAATTTTTGGAAACCAAATATATATATATATATATTACACCATTAGCGACTAAATTTTTTAGTCGCCAATTACTTTTATAAATCCCTCAAATTTAAATTAGAAATGTCTCCCTCCAATTTTTTATTTTTTGGCGACTAAACTAATTTTTGGTCGCTGAAAATATGTTTTGGGACTAAACTTTTGATCGCCAAAGATAGTTTTTTTTTTTTTTTTTAAATTTTACATTTGGCGACTAAATATTTTAGTAGCCAATACCTAATATACGGCGACTAAACTAATTTTTGGTCGCAGAAAATATGTTTTCGCGACTAAACTTTTGGTTGTCAAAGATAAAAAATAAATTTTTAATTTTACATTCGGCGACTAAATATCTTGGTAGCCAAAACTCAATGTACGGCGACTCAAAATTTTTTTTGTAGCCAATTCTAGTATTTTTAGCGATTAAATTATTTTTAGTCACCAATAATCAATATATCCCGACTAAAAAAATTTAATAGCTAAATATTATACTTTTGGCGACCAAATAAAAGTTTTAGCCGCCAATTTTAGTTGCCAAAAGTATATTTTGTTGTAGTGTCATCAAATACTGGATGTTAAAAAACATAAAACGCTCTTAATTAATACTTTCTATTTTATTATAAAAAGCTTACAACTCAACGAAGTTGTCACAGTTTTTACATTTTCAAATTGTCTTGCAACTATCTCACTTTTTTTATTTTAAATTTCAAATGTTTGGAACTTCTTCAGTTTTCTTCTCTTCATCTACGTTATTTATTTCTTTATTTATTTTTTAATTTTTGGTTAAATAGTGAAAAATCAATTGATCGATTTTCATAACACACCCATCCAATGCCCACACTTACTTATATTATATCATATAAAATGTATAAACTAATTAGTGTGAGCTCTTCTACGAAACTTTGTTGCGCTTTTTCATTCCTAGTTTATTTTATAAAACTATCGATTCCTAGTTTCATTCCCAAGTTTTAAAGTCTCCAATGCGGTGATCTAAGCAGAATAAAGTGAGACAATGTGGAATCACCATCTTATTGCCATTTTTCCTTTAAAAAGAAAAAGGTTAAATATATACTTCCCCTCCTTCATAATACATTTTCATCCCAAATAAAAAAACCTGCCTTGCAAGTGAACCTCTAAAGTTATGCAGAAACTATATAAAAACAAAAAAGAAAAAAAAGGGAGACAATATAGTAGATGTAACCAAGTGTTTTTATAGCAAAAAAGCAAACCACAGTGCATGACATACCATGCGTCCATAAATACATAACCTTACTATTACACAATACTTGCATATATATATATATATATATCCCAGATTTCTTAGCTATTATAGTCTATAAACATATAAAAAACCAGGTGGTATTTCTACTGCACTCTTAAACTTATTGTATAAGTATTATGGGAATACTTAGCCGTCCTCTATTCTGATATTATCTATATCAGAGGACAGACTAATCCTTGATTGGGATTCTCTTACTCCTCAATGGGCTTATCCAAATCCTC